TCCCACATACAGCAACTAGAAGGATGTGCAGCTATGACAGACAACTATGTACTGGGGCTTTGGGGGAAAAATAAATAAATAAAAAAATCTTTAAAAAAAAAAAAAGAATTTTATAATCAATTTTACAAGTTGATTGTATTAATTAGGACTATTTTGGTTGCAAATGACAGAAAGTCAAATAAGAGTAGTTGAAGCAAGGATGCTGTGGTGTCTCACAGATCTCAAGGGCAGGAGTGGGGCTGGGATACCAATCTCAGGCGGGCCTCTCTCTTCACCTTTTGCCTATTCATGTCTTTATTTTTCTCCTTCATTTCTCTCTTCCTGGCTAGCTCTGCTCACATGGGAAGAAAACACGGCTGTTGAAAGGACCTACCTGAGATTTTCATTTATAGTCTTAGTCACCTGGAAAGAGATGGACTCTCCTCATTTTCAGTTACCAAATCCCTGGCAAAGAGCTCTGAGTGGCCCAGCTTGGATTGAATGCTCACTCTGGAACCAATCTGCTGGACATGACAGGTTCCGGGAGGTGATTGGCCCAGATATCTTCCCCTGGACCAACTAACTGTGGCCAGGGCACATTTTGTACAAGATGATTGGTCCAGAGGTTACCATGTTGATAGAGTAGGGAAGAAGATGAGGAAGAGGCTATTTCCAGAAGAAAGCAGTGGACGGGTAGAAGTGGCTTTATGTAGTTAGAGCAATAATTGTTCATTACAATGATCTGAAGGAATTTGACCCCTTATAGTCAATAAGGTAAATTTCACTTAAAATAGCAAATCTCTTTGGAGCTTTGAATATTAAATAGTTCCTTTAGAAAAATAGTGGTGTTTTTAAAATATATAGTTCCAGATTATGACATGGATGAAGATGATGTAACAATTCAGTATAAATATCTAGTGTTATTAAAAACATGCAAATATTGGAATGTTGATGGAATATTGGAATGTGATGAAAATGATTATATCTAATCCTTACAATTTGGCTTAATTCTCCCAGCTACTGAAATGCTCCTTCAATTAAATGTGTGTTTAGTTTTATTTGTTGTTATTAATTGTGCAATTGTGCAAATAATAAGTGATTAAGCAGTCTAGCTCTGGAGATATTTTGCTCGGTGTGGTATTTTTCTTTGCCACTTACTAGCTGTATGGACTTAGAAAAATTACTTAATCTCCCTATGCCTCAATTTACTTATCTGTAAAGTGGGGATAATAATTGTGGCCTTTTCACAGGTTATGAGTATAAAATTAGTTAATATATGCAAAGTGCTTAGAACAGTTCCTGACATGTAGTCAACATTCAATAAAACGTTAGCTATTATTACTAGAATACTCTTTGGGCATTATTACCTTCTTCAAGATTATAAATCTTCAAGCTGCGCCTCGCCCCAGGACAGAAGAGAGACTTAGCTATGCTGTCCACCCAGCCAAAAGAGATGTGAAACGAAGACAGTTTGAAGAACATGTAAAAGAACATCATCTCAGAAGTCAGCCTCAAATCTCTCAGAAATGTGGACACACTAAGCATAAAATATCTGACCATAGGGTGGAAAGGAAGGCATCAAAGAGTCAAGAAGTCTGTCGTTACAGCCACCAGCCGTCCAAAGTAGAAATTTCAGCTCAGGTGCCAAGGTATACCTGTACACATCTCATCCAGGACAGTCAGATCTGACCACACCAAATTCACCACCCACCCGTGATCTAGGACTTCAGCCGCATGCCGCGATAAGTGACCACAAAATTCTGAGTGAACACAAAAGCCTGCTGGAAGTTCAGCAACTCTGGAAAGAACTGAGCAGTTGTATCCATAAAATTGAAGAAGTTACTAAAAAAGATCGAGTGGAAGAAACTTTAGATCCAGATGAAGAACAGCGAATCCATGTCAGGAGGCAGGAGCAAGCGGTTCGTTCTGCCCAAACGCTCTACGTCTTCCAGCGGCAGGTTAAAGAAATCCAGGAAGAATTGGATAAATTGAGTCCACATAAAATTAAACACAGTAGGAAGTCATGGGCAATGTCCAGGCTGGCAGCTGCGCATCGAGGAGCCATTCATGCCTTACAGATGTTTGTTACTCAGTTTACTGACCGAGGGGAGCACCCAGTTCCTGCCCAGTGTAGGGAACTGGGCAGTCTTATTCGCCAGCTTTCCCTCTGTTCTGCCAAGCTGGATGCCGATTCTTCTGTCCCTGATGTGGTTATAGATATCCTACGACAAATTGAGGCTTTGGAATCCCTCCTGGAAAAGAAACTGTCACCAAAAAAGGTGAAGAAATGTTTCACTGACATTCGGAGCAGATTTCCTGTTGGTAGCCAAAGGGCCTTGGAGAGATGGCAAAGTACATCACCAAAGAGTGAGAGGAGACCCTTAGTTGCAAAGGAGATAATTCCACAGGAAACAAAACAACCTTCAATGGCAAAGAAGCTTCTTGCTGATAAGTATCAACCTGATAGAGAGCTTCCAGTGACCCAGAGGTTGGAGAATGAGCTTGATGTGTTAGTTGCGGATATACTTCCGGAAGAAGCTCCATCTATTCTAGACCAAAATGCAAGCTTCAAAGAAGAGGCATTAGCCCCGGCAAAAACAACAGCAGTCAAAAAGAAGCCTGTGACTGAGGATGTGCCTTCTAGGAAGAAGGATACTCTGGTGCCGACAAGACTACAGCAAGGGCTCCACAAAACTGAAAAAAATAGATCAACCCAATCTCACAGCAAAAGCAGGTTGCAACGGACAACAGTCTCATCGAGATTAAAAATGAACCAACAGCCTGTGAAAGACCATAGGGCTCTTTGGATACCTCTGAACCCCACCTCCCCACCGGCATCTCCCAAATGTGCTGCATGGCTAAAGGTGAAATCGAGCCCCAAAGGTGCTGCAAAAGAATAGTCTCTCCAGCAAGAAGATACTCAAGAGGAAAGTCAATTCAGAGGTGCTGTTGAGCATGAAGCAGCTAGACTCGCTTGGCTTGATGCTGAAACTTCCAACAGATTAAAGGAACTAGAAGAATTAAAAGCCAAAGAAATGGACAAAATGCAAAAACAGAGGCTCGATTGGCTTGATGCTGAAACTTCCAGAAAAACAAAGGAATTGAATGAACTCAAAACTGAAGAAATGGATAGACTTCAAAAATTGAGTGTTTCTGCCACCCGGTTAGCAGACAAGGTAGAGAAGGCAGTTCTGGAGCATTTGAAGCCTCTCCTGGTCAAGGCCCAGAGAGTCAATTCTTCTCTGGAAGCAGGTAGTCCATTGACGGATCGGCCATCAGTAAACACAGCGATAGCCCAGCCTGCAGAGGAGGCTACAGCTGTTGATTCTGAATCCAACAACATTCGTCAGCTGGATGATTTTTTGGAAGATACCGCTCATGAGCTCTGGACTATGACTCACTCTAAGATCTTGGAGTCTGAAGCCTTAGACACCTTGGGGGACAGCAAGGACAGCCCATATCTGGAGACCATGATGCTCCGAATGGAGGAAACGGAAAAATACCAGGAGACAGTTTGCCAAAGATATAAAATTGTATATGCTGATCCTCATCTTTGGCTGCAGGAAGAAAAAAATGACCAAAAAATCCCAGCAGTAAGTGAAAGGCCTCTTTCTCCTCATCCAATCAGGATCACAAAGACAGCGGCTCACAAAGCCCCAGACGTGAACATCGTGTTGGAAAGGCCCTGGAATGCCAACTCCCTGGATGAAAGTGTGGGAACAGAGGAGAAATCGGAGAAAAAAAGGCTCCCCTTCTCTCCCTTTCAGAAGATTCTCAACAGAAAGAGGGTCGAGCTGCCCTCTTTGTCCCCCCCAGGATGCGGCACAGCACTGGGGACTACTGCAGCCGCTTTGAGCAGTACCTCCGGATGATATCTCATGAGGCCGTGGGCTCCTTCAACCCATGGCTGCTTGCTGAAAGCTTTTCAGAAGAGCTGGTAGATGAAGCTCTGGGGGACGTGGCTGCTGAACTTCAGGATGTGTGTGAAGATTATGCAGAAGCTGTGTTCACCTCAGAATTCTTAGAGGCTGCTACACAAAGGCTTTCCACGGCGAGGGCCCTCCTGTCACACTGGAGAAGGGGCGGCACTACCTTTGTTTCAGCCCGCAGGACATCTTGATCCTCTGCTGTCCATCCAGGCCCAGAAGGTGCTGCCTCTTCCTTTCTTCACTGCAAGGAAGGAAATGCCAGTAACGTCATCCTCACTTTGCATTTTCTCATTGTCATAGCATATACATAGGACTGGGTTGCAGATTCATGTAGAGCACAGAGGTTGGTTATGCTGCCAAACCTTTGCTCTGTTGCGGCTTATTAAAAATAGGAACCCACTCGTTATCAGTGCAAACAATAAACACATGTTTCTCTAATGCTCAATTCCTAGGTGGTTTTCATATTTTTAGTCCCTCAAAGTCTTTTACTGCTGTGGGTTGACATATTCTGATGTATAAAACTTTCTCTGAATTTTGAGGAAGTTTGAGGACACCAGGAGAGGGCCAGGCTTTCTCTGGTGACTTATTGAAGGTACAGAGCTCACTTCCATCTCTGGTGAGGTTAGAAGTTTCTATGTTTCCATACCACAAAGGAACCTTGTGTGGGAGGAGAGAACAGATTTGGATGGCGTGAAGACCTCTGGGTCTCCCCAGAGAAAGGAAGAAATTTAAGAACCGTAATAGCTTGGTCCTCAAATGTCTTATAAGTCATATTTTCTCAAGAGAAAAGCCTCTGTGTTTTCAGAAACTCTGAATTCGGAAGAAGAGAAGGAATGTGCGTAAAAAGAAGGCCACTGCTTGGAAAAAATTTCCCTCAATTTTTTGCTGGAGGCTTGGTGAAGGAAATGTGAAGAACCAAGTGACATGTGACATACCCCACGGAATAATGTGAATCTTTTTATAACACAGTGTTGTCATCTGGGATTTTTCTCTGAAGTATAAGTATTTCAGGTGATCATTTAAGCTGCTTGATCACACTTATTTGTGCAAAATTGATTTTTGTTTAATGGTAATGTTTTCCTGCTTAAATTTATATAACCTCAGAATTAGAAAGACCTCAAGGGAAATGAAAGGTCTTTAATTTGAGGAGCTGCATGTGTACTCTTAAACCGATAGGAGCGTCTGTTGTTGGTGGCTTCAAGTAATTTCTGGGGCAATTTTAAAGTAAAAAAAAAAAAAGATTATAAATCTTCAAGATACAAATGGACTTCCTTTCAAACCTTTTTGAATTTCTTTGAAATGATCATTTAAGATGGGCTCTTGGCTAACACTTTGTGAGCTCTATCTCACAGAAAAACACAAAGTAGAGCTTACTGGTCATACTTTGAGGACCTGAGACCTATTCTGCCCTACATATCCATTAAGATTTTTGACAAATGTTCCATTTCATAGATGTCCCAGTACCCTCTCCTTCTGGCAACACGGTAGGATTTTATTTTCCACCTACTGGAAGTTAAGTGTGGCCATGTGACTTGTTTGGCAAAGATCTGTAATCTTTCTGGGTAGAAACTTTAAGAGTCAGGGTATGTTTTGCAGCATCCTCTTCTCCTTCACCATGACAACTGGCAACTTCTAAGATGAGGGCTTCTCCATTAGCCTGAATCCCTGATTGACAGCTCACAATGGATATGTAGTATGAATAATAAAGAAATTTCTGTTTTAAACCCAACTGAGATTTTGCTATTTTTGATTCCAGGGGAACTGAAATCCTTCAACTAAGGCTTCTGAAAAGGAAGGTATCTTCAGGCATGAGGTCTGGCTGGGCTGGTTCTTCTTTGGCTATATTTCATTCAGGAATGAACATCTGCATAATTAGGATATCAATTTCAAAGAACATCTCATTACTATGAACAAATGGTTTAATGCAGGACAAAAACACCCACATTTTGTGCAATGATGCCATTATTATTTAAAATTCTGGCATCACTTGAAAATTTACTTTAAAGTAATAAATTCCTAACCCAGTCTTAGAAAAGCAGAGCTCATTTTAAGGCTGCCAGCTCTGTTTGCTTGGTAAGACCCTTACACCTATCATTCCAACACTTCCAAATACTGGTATTTATAAACTATCTTTCATTGTTCTGTTTAGTTTTAACTATCCCTTTTATCTATGTCTTTCTTTTTTTGCTCTAATTTGTGAGAGACCTGATTTTCTTTATCTAGAAAATGTTTCAAATTACATCATTTAGTATTTTTTATACATCTTAAACTTAAGAAGCACAGTTTATTTGGTGCTTTAAAATAGCATTTCTTATCATTCCTGGTCTAGGAATGAGTGTGCAGTTGGGTTAAGGACCAGACTCAAACTTGTGGAGATTTGGTTTCACTGAGGCCAGAGTTTTACTGTACCATTTCCTCTGCATCCAACTGACCAACAAAGTCTTTTTAATGTTTTTCCTCAGAAATGTCTCTTGAATCCACTCACCCTTTTGCACCCCTCGGACAGTGCCATAGTTCAGGTTTTCCTCATCTCTTGCTCATAAATTTCAAGCTTCCCAGCTGGTCTTCCTGGCACTCTTCTCTCATGTACCATCAGAATTACCATTCTAGAAACTAGATCCTAGAAGCTCATTATCTGCCCAGGGGATAAAATGAGCGCTTTAGCGTTTAGAGTCCCTCTTCCATTGTTTTTTTTTTTTTTTCCCTACCTCCCGTACTCCAGTACTCACAATTCTCCAAAGACACATTTTACTGTTCACTGAAAATGTCACAGCTTTCCATGCCCTGAGGCTCTGACCATGTTGATTTCCCTGATCTAAAATGACATTCTCTTCTCCCCTGTATTGGTTTCCTAGGGCTGCCATAACAGAATACCACAGACTGGGGGAGCTTAAACAACAGAAATTTATTTTCTCCCAGTTGTAGAGGCTAGAAGTCCAAGATCAAGGTGTTGGCAGGGTTGGTTTCCTCTGAGACCTCTCTCCTTGCCTGGCAGATGGCCACCTTCCCGTTGTTTTGTCCTCACATGGTTGGCCCTCTCGGTGCATGACCCTGGTGTCTCCTTTTATGTCCAAATCTCCTCTTCTTATAAGGAAGCCAGTCTAATTGGTTTATGGCCTGCTCTAATGGCTTCTTTTTAACTTAACCACCTCTTGAATGGCCCTATCTCAAATATAGTCACATTTTGAGTTACTAGGGGTTAGAGCTTCAACATACGAATTTTGGGGGCAGATACAATTTAGCCCATAACATACCATATTCTCCAACTATTTCTCGTTCAAGACCTAATTTTCCGGAAAGCTTTCCCTGGCTCTTCTAGTTATTAACTTCTTGATGCTCCCATAGCACGTGGTACTTACCTCAGTTATCACACTTATCTGTACAGTATTGTAATAATTCAAGTTATAGGTTGTCAAACTTGATCTTAAAAGGATAGGTGTAAATATTTTAGGCTTTGCAGGCCAAACAGTCTCTGTCACAACTACTAACTCTGCCATTGTAGTAAAGGGAGTTCAGAGAGTTCTTTATGTGCCCACATGCCAGTCTATGGGGGCATCACAAGCCCCCAGTATGAGAATTTTTCTTTCAATTTTACTCTGAGTTTCAGGTTGCTGAACTATAAAAGAACATCTTCTTTTGCTATGTATTCATTCATTTCTCCTAAAAATCTAGTGCGGCTTGCAGAGCACCAGCACAAATGCATTTTACCCCCAGGTGCCTTTTGGCCTCCTATGTCGTGGTCTGAGTAACTGCACTAGCTGTGGGATCCAGAGCAGGTCACTTAATTTCCTTGGAAGCAAATTCCTAATTTTTAAAACAAACAGTTGGATAGAAAGTATTTTCAATGGAGGAGCAGATGGCATTGAGGCAGGATAGTTCTTCCACGTGCGAGACTGTCCTGCACGTTGCAGGATGTTTAAAATCTCTGGACTCTGACCAGTGGCACCCCCTCGTCTTTATGACAACCCAAAATATCCCCAAATATTTCCAAACAATCTGACTTTTGAACACTCTGCATAATCTCTAACATCTCTTCCAATTCTAGAATTCTATGACTCCTAATTTTTTTGACAGTTAAATATATGGTAAATCCCTCTTTATCTGAAATCTAAACTAATCAGAATGCTCAGATAACCAGTTTTGGTTTTGTCTATGTTGGGGGAGTGGATATTGTGTATTCTGACTTTATTTTTATATTTTGAGAGAAGACAAATGATAGGTGAATAACTGGTGTTGTGTTAATTCTGAAATGTTGCATGCTGGGCACATCATTGGGTTACCTCAGATTTAACCCAATCTCTGGCCCTTCTCTAACTTCCAGAAAGGTAGCCACATGTGGCAATTTAAATTTAAATTCAAATTAATTCAAATTAAGTAAAATTTCAAATTCAGTAACACATGTGGCTGCGTTTGTGGCTAGTGGCTACCACATTAGACAGCGCAGATATAGGACACCTTCAACACAGAAACTTCTAACTGTCCTGGTCTGAGCAGTCATAGCTGATTCAACCTATGTCATGCAACATTTTATTTTATTCTTTTTATTTTTAATAGTGAGAATGTCATTATATTCTAATTATTTAGCAATCCAGACATGAAAACGTTTCCCCTACCCATTTAGGAAGCTGAAAGTTCACTGTAGTCAGAGAAACATGCCTTTGGCAATTAAGATACTTTAAATTTTTATGTGGAGGATCACAATCTAGAAGTGGCAGCCCAGATTTTAATATATGGAGGCCTAGGAAGACTTACTTCTCTGTTTCCAGCAGCCTTGCAAACACAGGTATTTCCACAGTCATCTCTTCCTTCTTATACATGTTTAGAGTCATTAAAGACCAGAAAAGTCACTCCGATTTGGCACAAGTCTTTTGATTGCGTGAGTTCACTTGCTGAAGAAGGCTTGCTCGCTGCCTGATGTCAAGATTAAAGAGTTTATGTCTGGAGGGGTGTCTGTCTCTTGTTTTTCCCTCCTGGAACCTCAGATGCCTGGATCCTGTCCCAGAAGGCAGGAGTAGGGCTTGAAACTGCAGAGCGGATGAGGCAAGTGTAAGATCACAGGTAGGTGGATGAGTGCCCCGTGACCACATGTGCTATGTTTTAATTAGGAGAGCTTTTCTTATCTCCATGACTGCATTTTAATTGCCCACTGGGCGGTCTCAATTCCTAGATGAAGGATCACAGAGTTCCTCAGAGGCCCAAGAATGATTTATTGCTGCTTATC